TTTCCAAATTTTATAGAAACAACTATTTGTCATAGGATATTTATCACTTAACTTTTTCAAGATATCAGTTTTGAATTTTACATCATAATATTGCATAATAAATTTATAATTCACTGAAGATAATGGGAATATATCAAATTGCATATGTTTAATCATATTATTTTTATAATATCCATAATATAAATAATATCAATAATATTAATAATATCAATAATTTATTGAGAAAAAAATATTTATGTTATAGTATTAGTAATTAGTATATATAATACATATAATACATATAGTACATATAATATATATAATATGGATATTTAATATATATAATAGACTTGGAGAGCTATTACTTTGTAATATACATCTTATATATATTAAGTTTTTCTGTATTTTTTTTATTATATTATCTATTATTTGATATAACATATGTGAAAGATCTTGAGGAAGAAATATATCATATTCTTTAATCTTCTTTTAAATTACATAATTATAATAATAAGTTGCAAGATAAATACATAAAGCAAGAGAAGAATTTTGATCAAGAAAGAAAGAGATGGGATTTGGATAGAAAGAAATAGAATAAAAAACTAAAAGGAACTAATATTGAGATCCAGAAATTATACATTCACAATCTGGAGCCTATTAATAAAACTAGATATCTACAGATTGAAAATGCTTGCAAAGTTATCTCTCTTGCAAAATCCAAGACTAAGTATACTATAAAATTAGAGAAGATTAAATCATTTTGAAGTGAAATAAAATTATTGAAAGATAAGTTAGATTTATCTCAGAAGGACTCATCAAAGAAAGTGTTTAAAATTAAATCTCTCAAGTCTAAAATAGTTAAATTAACTTTAAAAATTAGTAAATTGGAGTATCTAAAATCTCAGAATCTATAGGCTCTATAAGTTATTGCTTTATAATAATTGATGAAAATGATGAGAGGAAGAGCTCCATTATTTTACAATAAAAAATGCACAAAATAAGAAATAATATTCTATAACTAAGTTTGATAATATATCTATAATATTGCAAAGCAATAACACTTATATACCTAGTAAAGAATCAGAGATTCAAGACTATATCTCATCTAGTAAAGATCTAAGTAAATATTTTATACGTGAGAAAAATATGGGTCCAATAAAAAAATCAATAATAATATCTTGATCTATATTAATAATAAGATTACTAAACTATTAAAAAATGATACTGGTATTAGTCCTAAAGTAAATGATGGAATTAGTATTAGCAAAACTAACAAGAATAATATTATATTATAATCTCAAGAAATACTAAATATAACTTCTTATCTTGCACAGTCAGAAAATAATAATAGAGCTAGTGCTAAAGCATATATATTCTTTTTAATTAAATTGAATTCTCAGATGAGATCTAGTCTCAAGACTTTGCCTCTTCTGATAAGAGGAATAAGAATAATTTCTGTTGTAATAAGTAGTTTAATATCATCTTTATCAGTATATATGTTACTTATTTTATTAATTATTACAGTTATGTAATTCATTATATTGAGATACACATAGAGATTAGAAAGGAAAAGTGATTAATTGCAGGATATATGGATTGAATATTAGAAGTTATCTATTTAAACTTTAATTCTGGATATTTTATATAAGATAACTATTAGTTATTTTTTTCAAACTTGAGAGAAAAAAAAAAGAGTATGAGAGTATGAACAAGATCACTTTCCTGGAATACAAACAAAATTTTGAGACTAAAATAAAAGTTCCTACTACTTCACATAAAAAAGAATTAAAAAGTTGATTTATAATTCTTATTAAATATGTATAATCTTTTAAAATAATATAATCTAATTAAGTAGAATACTTTAGCTGGAAGTATATTACTATATTTATCTAGTCATATATTTTAGGTAAAAGGATTTTTATCATCTCTTACAAATAAGTATAAGAAAAAATTCAAATTAAAAATTAATACTTTGATATCTGAATCATATAAAGAGATTTTTGTATCACATAATTTTGATCAAAATAAAGTTCTAGGTAAGTATTTCCAATATAGGAGTAAGATAAATCACAGAAATTTATGAAATTACATGATCTTGAAAATCTAATATATAGGATAAGATAAATAATTATATTATAAAATATATGAGATATTTAATAATTATTTTTGTATTATATAATTTTAATCAAGATACAGTTTTAAGTAAATAATAAGTTAAAATAATTATATTATAAAATATAATACGTATATGATATGCTTCAAACAGTACTAGTAGATATAACTTATGCTAAAAATTCTTGGATTACTAAAGTAAAATTATTATAAGAAAGTTATACTATTGCTCTTTGATGAATCAAATATAATATATTTTTTGAATCATCAAAATAAAATTATATTATGTACAGAAATTGTACTTTGATAATTCAAATGTGATATATCTCATTTTTATATGTTAAAAGATTACCAAAAATTTTTTAGTATGAGTACTATTTCAAATAAAATAGAGTGAAATGCCAGTGTTCTAAAATAAAGTATGCATATAATATATAAAATTATGCTTTGATAAGATATCAAAGATTTTTTGATATAAATAATATTTCAAGTAAAAAAGTAAGCCATCAAGAAATAATTATTACAGATAAAAGATATATAAAATTATACTTTGATAGATCACCAAATAAGTATTATTTTGAGTAAAAAAAAGTGGAATATCAAGATATAATTATTACAGATAAAAGTTATGTATAATAAAATTATACTTTGATAAGTTACTGAGTAAAAATAATAATTTGGCACTACATATCTTATTCTTGGATGATATTCAAATAAATTATGTGAAGCTAATAATTGCTAATAATTTGATACTATATACCTCATTCTTGATTGATATTTGAATATATTATAATAATTAATAATTTAACACTATGTGTCTCATTCTTAGATAATATTTGAATAAATTATGTGAAGCTAATAATTATTAACAATTTGATATTATATATCTTATCATCAGATGCTTTGATATATTATTAGATATATTAACAATTTGACATTATATGTCTCATTATTAAATATTTTAGTATATTACCAGATATATTAATAATTTGATACTACATACCTCATTCTTGATCAATACTTAAATATATTATAATAGTTAGTAATTTGGCATTATATATCTTATTTTCAGATGATATTTAAATAAATTATGTGAAGCTAACAATTATTAACAATTTGATATTATGTATCTTATCATCAGATGTTTTGGTAAGTTATCAAATAGGAATAATAATTCAGCAATCAAAATTAGCATACTTTAATATAATGTACTTAATAATATTTATGTAATATAAGTATATATATTAATTATTAGCATAATCAGATAGTGTATATATAGTATGTCCAGATAATATATATATAGTATATATATAATAAATTTGATAGTACTAGAAATATGATAATATAAATATAAAATTGTTATCATATTTTTTATAGGTTGTGAATATTCAAATATGATAACATGAACATAAATTTGTTATCATATTTTTTTATAGATTATGAATATTTAAGTGTGATAATAAACTTATGAATTAAGAATTAATCATTACTCAAATAATGATTTAATATATGATTCCATCATCATACATAATCTAGATTAAGTAAAAATAATATAATTATATTATTTTCACTTAGTATAACAAGATGTTATTATCAAGATTTTCTTTATATTCAATATAAATATAGGTAATATCATTATAATTACTAGTTTTGATATTATAAATTATCATTTCATAAGTGATAATTGAGTTTTTATTACTCTCAAAAGAATAAAAATTATAGTGCCAACTATCCTCTCTTTTCAACTGACTGATTTGATATTCTAATTTCATGTTACTTACTCTTTTATAAGATATAAGCATTAAATTTCTTCTTAACTATTTTCTTAGTTTGATTTACTTTACTTTTTATCTTATTATCTAACAGTTTAAGTTTATTAGTTTTTTTGATAGAACTGGTAATTCTTGAAGTTATTTGTTTATATATCATATAGTTCTATCATGTCATGAAATTTTCTATTAATTTTATTTTTGTAAAAGCTTTATTCAAATCATCTTCTTTAGCTTTGATAATTTTTGTAAACAAACTAACTTTGAATTCTCATCTTTCTAATCTACTTACTTTAAGGTCTCTTCAGCTTCTTCTTGCTCTATTTCCATTTCATCTTCCAATTCTTCTATTCTGAATTCCAATTCCTTTTGCTTAGTTTCTAACTCTTTTTGCTTGGCTTCTAATTCAGTAATCCTTGATTCTAAAATAGTATTCTTTTCTTCAAGTTTTTTATTTTTGTCATAAATAAAACCAAAAGAACTTGAACTATTTCAGGTTTATTCTGTAAAACCTTTAACAATATTTTCAAGAGTGAATTCATTACTAAAATTAATTTTCTCAACTCCATTTTCTTTTTGAATCTTTACTCATTCATCTCATTGTCAAAAATATTGTTTTAGGGTAATTAAAGTGCCAGTAATTTCTGGACTTTCATTTTTCATAATATTATGAACAGCATTATAAATTCTTAGGGTAAAATCTTGTTCTTTATTTTCTTTATCTGCTAATTGCTTCTTTAATAATTCAATTTCGTTTAATAGTTCTTTATTTTTTTCTTGTTGTTCTTTTATGATGTTTACCATGGTTTTTTTTTATTTTTATTTCTTTTAATATACTTAAATCCTTTAAATCCTTTTTATGAAGGTATATTAAGTATATAGTTATTTTAATATTTCTTTTGATTTAGACTTAAAAAATTAAAAGTGAAAAAAGCTAAATAATATTTGTTGAAAGATTAAACTTATTATGGCAGTAGAAAACAAATTAACGCGTAATGAAGTAATAGAGGTAATTTTATTCATTGCCAGTATAAATTGGTTGTGGACAAGTAATGTCTTTGAATTCATCTCTGACAAATGGGCGAATATTATGATAAAGATATTCTTGTCTTTTGTAATCCAAAGGAGGAGGGGTTAGTACTAAGATGGAATTTCTTTGGTAATTTCAGAAACGTTTGCTTTTCTGGTTTTTAATAAATTAAATTCAGTAAAAGCATCATTAACAACCATCTGAGCTTTGACAACTTCAGGATTGGCTGCTTCAAATACAAAATGCTGATACTTTTGTAAACCACTCAATTTCTTAAAGAAAATTCCCAACACAGAGTTAAAATCTAAGTATTGAAAGCCTTTTCCGCTGTCATAACGCTGAGCCTTATTTAATCCAGTTGTACTCGATTTTTTCACAACTTCAACAATATCGTTCACACAATTTACCATTGTTTTGCGATATAGTTTTTTAACCAATCCAAAACTACCATCAACCATGAAATTTAATTCAATACTTTCATAATAGCCGCAAATTACTAAATAGAGGTAAAATCAAATGGTGGCGTTATTTTTATTCTGTCCATCCGCGTTGTCACAAGTAAGCTTTAAATGTTTTCACCTTTATTTAATCTCTTAATTCCATCGAATATCAGGCTCAGTGTGCCATTAGGACCTTTGCCGATAATTTCGTCTTCATCGCGTACTGCTTCATCTTGAATACCAAATAAATGCACTTTACGCAGACTGAGATAATAAATTTTACTTACCTGTTGATCTGAATGTGGAACGTGAACATTTTGTGCTCAATCGTAACTGTAATGAGCAATGCTACAATAATCAGCTTTACCTCTTGTTATAAACTGCTTGTTTACCAATATTTCTCTGTTGTTCTGCTAACTTCGTATTTTTGTTGTAATAATTTCTCTCTAATTTAGCCTTAACTAAATGTTCTTTGTATTTTTTTAATAAATCTTTCGCTTCTTAGCATTATACTCCGAAAATGTTGGCACGTGTCACATACAGTGTGTTGCGAAAAAAATGGCGCACAAATAAACTTGTATATCTCAACAATTATCTAACAGAAATAAATGAAAGTGGACTTATTTTAAAGCTTATAAACTACTTTATTAAATATAAAAATTATAATATGAAATTCTATCCCCATTTTTTTGTAATACTAGTTCACAACAATTTTTCATAGATCTGATTAAATTTTGTATTATAAATTGCTTTAACTCACCAATATCTTTAGGTATTCATTATTTTTAACAATCTGTCACATATTCTTGATAGAATTCAAATCAGGGCTGTTAGATAGCCACGCCATTACATGAATATTATTTTAGGATAAAAAATTCTTTGCACATGTAAAGTGTGCTTAAGATCATTATTTTATTGCAGATACCATCTTCTACCATATAACTATCAGTCAAATGGAACAAATAGAAGAAGCTGGATTTGTAAAATATTTACATAAAAGAGACTATTTATTATGTTTATAAAGCAAAATACTAATCTTTTAATTTACGTGCCATTTTTTTCGCAACACACTGTAAATCCGTTCTTGGACTCATGATTTGAATATAAGGCGTTAATTGATGTCACAACTTGCGGAATGCGTATTTTAATAATTTCAATGTGTTATCGTTTTTAAGACCTGCAATAAAATCACGATAGACTGACTTATAACTCGTTTCGGCTGGCAAAAGTGTAAGCGATTGAGTAATGCGATTAACATTTCTACCAGGACTTGGTAGTCCATGAATTTCAGCATAGTTTTCGAGAAAATTTTTTACGGCTGTGGCAACGGTTATATCAATGGTTATTTTGGTTTTTCATCGCGGCATTCGTTTTATGTTACCATGAACGCGCGGTATTTTACCATTCGTTGCTAAATGATTTCTGACGTTTTCGAAGTGAGTGCGACCAATTCCTAACATATTGAGATATGTTTTTTGACAAAGCGGCGTATTGCGATCTCAGTAGTAAAACGTTCGCTTATTAGTACGCGTTGTCTTTTTGAGACGTCGACTGGCAGTTATTTCTCCACCATTCATTGCTTTCAACTGGGCATTAAAAATACATCTTGTTCAGATCTAGAGAGGGCTTGAAACGCTTCACGTAATTCAGCAAAATTTTCTCTCGGAATCTTTTTTGAGCAACCACAATTGCAACCTGTTTCCAAGAAACGTATTACCTTGTCATATTCGGTGGAACCATAATAATAATAATCTTTCATATACGGGTAACTATATATAAATTTTATTGCAGTAGAAATCCACTATCTTTACTAGAAAGGAATACAACTAATTACTTCAAAAGTTTCTCCAATCGTTGTTTTTTCTTTGCGGATGGCTCCGAAATGCTTGCAATTTTATCATCAAGCATTGCACGAATTGTCGCAAACAATTTTTGTGTCTCACTTTTAAGCTGAGTTTCATCAACCTCAATCGTGCTAAGATTTAGTGATATCGGCTGCATGCTTCTCGCTGCAACTTCATTGTTAGAAGTGACCATTGTGAAATACCACTTATCGCCAGTTGATACAATTCCATACACATATTCAACGTCCTCCTCCTGATCGTCTCTTTTTCGTTTGCGAATATTTTCCTATGTATGATTAAATATTCTTAAATATACTCAATAATATGTGTCACATGCGTATTCAATATTTACCTTGCAAGCACTTTGCAACTGAATTAAATTTTGGCAAAAACCATATTCCAAGTCGAAGCGTTTAGATTCAGTTACACAAAGAATTGTGCACTCACAGTTGATAGTGAAATCCGTCCGTCCTTTCCCGTAAGGACCAGTCACCATAAATTCCAAGTGTAATTTAACCTTCTGCTTTTTATCAAAAGTTGAAACAATACCACGTAAAATTGTGTCAACGAATACTGAACGTTCCATTTCATTACATATATCTATCACTCCAGACGTATTCAAAATTAACTAAGAAGTAATTATAAATTAGTACCCACCATGCACCATATCATTATATAAGTAAGAATTCTACAAACCTGTATCTGCTTCATTGCGTGACAAATAGCGCCTTCATATGGTTCGGTATTGACCGCTAAAGCTTTGTTTGTAAAGTATTCAGTTGATATATTTCAATCAAATAAATAACGACAATGGGCAGCAGCCAAGTTCACTCACGAAGTCTTAAATCTGGTAATTGTGTGAAATCGCACGCTTTCACTCCAAGTATGGGTTCGAGCTGACTAAACTTTCTATATGCGGAAAAATCTCGCTGCGCTAAATGAGATATTTTATCCATCACTCAATGTTTATATACAGCATGACCAAAAGATTGACCAATAATCAATTAGCGAGGGAGGAAGAAAATACCCACAACTGTCTACCTTGAATTCAATATGCTTAATCCCATTGTCGTCCTCGGGAATGCTGCTAACAAACGTTTCGAATTCCTCCTGACGGCGAATCCTCTGACCTGATTTAAATGTTATCTCAATCGAATCTGTTTCAACATCTTGCAACAAGTCGTCAAACTCTTGCTTGATTTCATTACATAGTCGATCCCACAAGTTTTCCGTAAGAGAACTTGTAAACCAAAACGTCTTCTTGCTTCTTCCGTAAGAAACTAAGCATTCCAAGATTTGTCTCTCTAGGAAATATTAGAATAGATAATAGATACACAAGAATAGGATTAAATTCGTGACATGAGAAAGTTGTGCTTTTCTATGTATGAAACCCTTATTCCTACACTAACCTTCTCCCATAAAACCGTGTAAACACTGACTTAGTATCACTCTCCCGACAAACTCATAACAATATTACTCTGTCTACTCTACCCTGTGTATACACTACTCTATGTCCCCAACACTCGAGTCACAAAGTCGTTACCTGGTTGAGCAATTGCCCTCGCTTGCCGCAAGTCTTCACGACTCTTCAACACCTCATTACTCCACTTCAACACCTCATTACTCCACTTCGTAACCTCCGCCGCCAGCTCCTTCTTTTCGAGCCTCAGCCCTGTCAACACTCTCTCCTCCCGTTCACTAAGCTCTTCGTCGTCCAACTCCTTCTCTTCTAGCTCTTCCAGCCGTTGTCCACGTTTACTCTCCTTAAACTCTTGCAATGCCCTCTCTGTCTTCTGCTTCTTATCCTTCGCTTCTTTCAACTCTTGTTTGATGTCTTCAAAGCTTGCCATTTCTTTTTTGTTAGAGGGAAAAGATGTTCTGCACGCGCGATGTGATCTAATACCGTAATATACTAGTGGCTTAATCAATGACGTAATTATTACGAACATTCGCGATTGTCCATTGTATGCAGAGTGACCAATGATAATTGATGCGCAGCAACGCGCATTTATCTATTTAAGCATCATGAATAAACGATTTATTATTAGCACTAGTGGCTTATTTTCAGAAAATCAATCACAACTCAACAAATACAAACATCATTTAAAACCAGGCCTAACAATTTCCATCAGTAACGCTTTGCGAAAAATGTTTATAAGCGAATTCTTCATTTGCTAATACTAAATGGCATAATCTGTAATGGTCGGCTTGATAATACGGGATTCCTAATTCAATCGATGAAGTTGAAATTCATAAAAAAACTGTCATCGGCGAACAAAATTTACTCGCCAGAAATTGAAACGTTGTGGAATGATTTAAAAGGATTATTTCATATTAATATTTTTATATAGAGATAATCCCTATATTAATCCTATTATGATTTATATTCATTACATTCTGGTATGATAAAGTGAACATTAAAATTAACAAGTCCATAAGTTATGAATGAGTACTATTATTACTTTTCAAAACATCATCAGTCACACTGGTCAATTTTACAGTCACATCATAATCAGTCTCTCATTATCATTTATATCACATAATAGAATATTCACTTTGTCTGGTTTTGTTGTAGCATGTGTTATATATTATTTAATTCAAAAAATATGATATTAAATTCATATAACTATTAATAATAATCTTTTGATTTTACTTTTACTTATTAATATTTAAAAGCTAAATTAAAAGTTGAGAATTATTTTATTTTATTAAACATATCAAGTAAGTTATCAATTCTAAATAGAAAAAATTAATTTTTTTTATAATTTTATTTAATTAGTAATTATTTATACAGAATTTATAGTTATCTTTTTTAATTATTATTATAGGTATTAATCAAGAGCTATCTAATGACAAAATAATATTTTATTATAATATTCTTTCAGTCTCTTCTTTTATAAATTCTTTCTTAATAGATAAGTATTTATAATATAATTATTAATTTTTTAGTTTTTATGCTTATCTTATATTAAATAATTATAATCTTATTAGACTTTTCATCAAATAAATTCTAATATTCTTTTAATAATTCTTCTAATTATTATTTTTTAATTTAATATTATATTTATTTCTTTAGGATTTTTTTTCATCAACTTGATAAAATAATTCTGATATTATTTTTATCTATTTATAAAACTAATTATTTTTATTATATAAGTAATTATTAATATATGAATATTTATCTAGATTAGTAAATTTATTTTTCTTTAATTTTTCAAATATTAAGTAAAAAAATTTTTCTTTATCAAGTTAAGTATAATGATTCTTTTATATATCTAATATTTTTAACTATTTATTTATACTTTCTTAAATACTTAAAAGTGATTGATTAATATTATTATTTTCTTTATATTTATATTTATTTTCTTTTTTATTAAAGATTTCTTTTTTTTAAATTGTTTTATTTTATTAGTTAAATCAAAATCTTGTTAATTTCTATCTGAATTATTAAGTTTTTTAAATTAAGATATATTGAATTTTTATAATTTTTATTAAAGATAAAAATATTACTTATATTATTTTCTTATTTAATTATATATTATATATTTGACTAAAATTATTATTTGAATATTTTTAGTATATTTAATATTTATAATATTAGTTTTTATTTTATGAATTAAAGAAAATCTAAAAGTAAGTTAACAAAATATAATTATAATTTTAAATAGTAAAATAATATCTTTTAATCTTAAATATTTAGATTAAAATTAATATTTGTTTTATGAATATATTTTAATATTTTTTCTTTATCATTATTATTTAAAACTTTGATCTCTATTTTCTTATTAATATTAAATATATTATTTTTTACTTTAATTATAATAATTTTGATTAAATTATATTTTTCTTTAGCTTAGATTTTTATTTTGTATTATTTGTATAATAAATTAGCTTCTGTATTGTATTTTATAAAAATTAATTTCACTCTGAATATATAAATAATCATTTATATATTTAATATATTAGATTTAATACATTATCATGCAGATAATTACTATATATATTATAATTATTAATTTAAATTATTAATATTTTTAATTATATATATTATTAATATTTTCTTTATAATT